CCCCCGGCACCCCCAGTGCGGCCTGGCCGACGCCCTCGGCTACTTCTCCCTGCAGCCGGTGCAGGTGGCCAAGGGGCTGATGATCCCCTCGCTGGTGGTGACGGTGCTGGGGCTGGTGGTGGCTGCGCTGGGCGTGCGCTGCTGGCAGGAGGAGCCGCACTACCTGCTGGCGGGCATCTCCGGGACCATCCTCTTTGCCTCTGGGCTGATGAGCCTCATCCCCGTGGCGTGGTACAACCACTACCTCAGCGCCCTGCCTGCCCCCGCGGCCAACGCCCAGGAGGTGGGTTACAGCCTGGTGCTGGGCTACTTGGGCAGCTGCCTGGAGCTCATCGGGGGCTTCTCCCTGGCGCTCAGCCTCCACCAGAGCTGCAAGGAGTGCAGGAGAACGAAGGCGGCCGCCAAGTACCCCCACAGCAGCCAGCAGGGCCCCGCCGCCGTCCCGTCCCCCGACTTGGTGCCCTACCGCCAGAAGCCGGCTCCCCAGGCCTTCAGCAACCCCATGGACGTGCTGGAGGGAGAAAGAAGCTACCGGCGCCCCCCGCCCTGCGACTCCGACTTGTAGTCCCGCCGCGGCCGGTGCGGCCCCTGCCGCCGTGAGCAGCGAAACGCTAGCGGAGAGCAGCCCCGGCCAGCTGGAGGGCCAGGCTTGTGGCAGCAAGGACCTGTCCCTGCCTCTGGGCAGAAGGCGCCTCCCGCTGCAGCTGGGATGGTGGAGAGTTTGATGCTCCAGCCTGAAACTGCAGCCAAGTGACTTAGGATCCTCCATCTCCTTGCAAGTCCATGGGATTTAGGCTCCTCGTGGCTTACTTTGGGCAAAATGTTCAAGAGTCTCTAGGGCTTTTCAGTGGCAGCCCACCTTGAGGAGTGGGGCCAAGTGACTTAGGAGCCTGATGCCACTTCCCTGGGAGATGCTGGATATGCAGCGCTGGCGGGTACACTGCAGCCAAGTGACTTAGGATCCTCCATCTCCTTGCAAGTCCATGGGATTTAGGCTCCTCGTGGCTTACTTTGGGCAAAATGTTCAAGAGTCTCTAGGGCTTTTCAGTGGCAGCCCACCTTGAGGAGTGGGGCCAAGTGACTTAGGAGCCTGATGCCACTTCCCTGGGAGATGCTGGATATGCAGCGCTGGCGGGTACGCACCTGCAGAGTTTGGAACCTAAATATGGCCCCTGTTAGCCCCCCGCATACGGCAGCGGGGTTTCCGCCAGGCCCCTCAGACACGGGGGCCGCGG